TTGATGTTTATTGGATCAACCTTTTCTAATAAGGGTTGAATTCTGCATTTCAGATTAATTTATCTCTAATGAAAGTTATCGTTTCTGATAAAAATAAAAATAAACAAAACGATGTTTAAAGGCACCCTAATCTTAAGATTCATTGTTTTATTGTCCTTTCCTTCCTTAATGCTCATGAACCAAATTGACAAGAAGCTAAGAGACAGTAGAAAAAAGATAAAAATTTAGTTGTAAAGTATAAATTATGTCCAGCCTGAGCCTGCATTATACAGATTATATTGCTGCATCAACATTCCAAGAGAAACTTGCAAAGAAGAATGTAAATTAATATAAGCACACCAAAGTTAAAGGTCCAACCTAGGGTTTTAGTCAATGATATCACTCAAAGAAAATTAATAAAATGGAAAAGCCAAAAACCTAATCTTTTCTAAAACCGTCCAAAAAGCAAAAAGAAAATCCAATCTTCTTGTCATCTTTGTTTCAGGCGCGTGGTAAATAGCAAAAAGAAAGGGAAAAAAATAAGAATAAATAGAAGAAGAGATGGAAAATGTATATAGGAAGTTACCAGCGAGAAGCGTTCCACGACGATTAAAGGCGATACATTTCATGATCCCATGCTCCAGGTATTCTTCTATCACTTCTGGAAAATCCCCCTGCAAGGGGTCTTCACACACACAGAAGCAGAAGGCATGAGTATTCAGTTTTCACCAGAAACAGTATAATAGAACTTAAAGCAACAAGTTTGGAGGGGGGGTGAAGGGAGAGAAAACGAGAAAGCTCACCAATTATCGGAACGTTCATGATCTTTTGGCAAGCGAGCTCAGGTTTCTCAGGAAATAAGGAATTTCGTCTGCATTGGCTCGAGAAAGTCGCAGTGCTCTTTACTTCTGGTCTGCCAGATTCTAATGCGCTAAAAATAATAATAAAAATTTCAGCTGATTTATAGCAGAAATTTTCAAATGTTTACGGGTCTGGGGTTTGGAGGGAAGAGATCAATCCGTTCGCGCGGTAACACAATGAGGGTTTTCTTCTTTAAAAAGGCTACTGAATGATTAATGTCAATTACCAACCAAAAAAGGATAGGAGATGGCCAACATTCGATTTTGTAGGAAAAACAAAACCCTAAGGCTGTATTTCCTTCAAACCAAACACAGCCTAAGTCCTTAATAAACTACGACTACGAGTGGGGCGCGGAGTGGAGAGCCAACGCAAATTAGTTTTAGGGTCCTTTTATCTGTCCTCATTACACTTGGGCTGTGTTTGGAACCGTGGGCGTTGTGTTTGAAATCGTGGGCGTTTTTCAATAAACGCTGTCATGTAGGTGTCATATAGATATTTACCGCAATAAACGTTTATTAGAGGTTAATCGGCTGTTTGGTGCGACCGTTTATCAAAAAAACACCGATAAACAGAAATGGGTGGATTTTGTGCAATGAGCCGTTGGGGGGAAGTGAAATATTCTCGCTTCCCCCAACGGTTTCGTGTTTCACAAAACGCACATTTGACATGATGCATACGTGGACGGTGGTGTGGCGATTGAGGGAGAGATATCTGGTGCTTCGCGGATTACTGAAATTGCAAAGAAAACCCCCATGCCCCAAAGCCTTACCACTGTGTGAGAGACACTTTTCGCAAGGATAGCCGCGGAGAGGGACTTGCGTAGGGAGATTGCTTCTCATACTGACCACTGCGTTTTTTTTTGTCTCGCAACGCAAATCCAGCGAGGTGTTGATGTTGTGTACACCGGGAAGGTGCTTCGTTGTTTGTTTATTTTTTTATCTGAACGGCATGTCATACCTACCCCTTCCTCTGAAAGTCGATAATCCAGGCTTCAATACGATATTAACTTTGTCGTCTTCTTTCTTCATTTCTAGGAGTCCATTACAACCATTTCGGGTACAGGAACAAGTGGTAAAGTTGGGAGATGTGAATTGAAGGTGATGTGGGTTAGCTTGGCCCAACCTACATAGAGGAGTTAGGAAGCCCAGCCCACTAAGGGAGTTAATCACATAACTATCTGACGTACCGTCAGGGCCTATAGTCTGACCTCGTACGGCTTTCATCCAAGGCATTTATCTTCACCTACCACTAGCATGTTCAAGTATAAATAAGAGGTAACTGCCCCTTATAAGGGACTGGAACGAAGCAACTCTAACATCCTCACTCATTTACTTTATGCACGTTGTCTACCTAGTATTAATTCGGGGAGATTTGGTGCATCCGAGGACTCTCTCCAGAAGCACTTTTACACTCTCCCCTACTTTATACCTCGTACTAACTTGAGCATCGGAGCCTCTACCTCAGGTATCCACCCCGAGGTCTCTGGCACTCCCTGTCTTGCAGTATCTTAGATCACCAAGGACTTCACCTCGACTTGTAGTCCTCGGCTACCATAGTCCTCGGAAGGAGTACTTCACCTCGGTTTGCTGTCCTCGGCTTCGGTCAACCTCTTCCAAGGCCCTGAGGTCCTCAGCTACCGCTCTAAACTCGACGAGTGAATTTACCTGGTTGCCCTCGGCCAACCCACGCGGCAACAATTGGCGACGTATGTGGGAAGCTTGGTTGCTAAGACGACCCCCACTCCAGGATAAACAATAATAACACTCTAGATCCAAAACCCCTTTAAGTTCGAAAGTCATGGTGAGGAGAGCCAGGAACAATCCAAACCTGGTTACCTACAAACAATTTCAGTTCATCATCGATCGCTTGGACCGCCTCACCCAACGAATGGAAGAAGTCTGCCCCCGAGCAGGAGGTCCCTCTCAAGGCGACCACCCCGTTGGGGTGTCAGAGGATCAGGGCTGACACGATAACATTGAGGTACCGGCCCTCGGCCACGGTAATCTGCTAGCCGAACCGTTAGAATCGGGCAATAATTGCCTCCTCGACTCACCTCAAAGGAATGTCTGTCCTCCTAGCCGAAGGGAGAGTGTGTCTGCTCAATCCAAAGACAGTCATCAATCTTCGGAGCAACACCACCGCCGTCGTAGGGAGGCCCCCTAGGATGATGGCAGGCAGTTCGGTGCCTTGGAGTTCGCTCTCGAGGCGAGAGCCAACTTCATCCCACTCCACCTCCCATCTCAAACCACAAGGATGTTTTGAATGATCGTTGCACCCGCAGAAGAGCGCACAACCCTGTCTCAGATTATTCGGGAGTTTGAGCCAACACCCATCGGGTCCGCGAAGACAGGAGCAGGGCCCATGCCCATGCTAACCCAAGGATTGCCAAGTTGCGAGCTGAGATTGGGGCCGTCAAGGATGAGCTCCGCCAAGTTAAGGAGAGTCGAGCCGACGCCTTAACCAGTCACAGCGACTCCGCCGGCCGCATGGACGCATTCACCCAGGAAATCATCTCGGAGCCTCTCCCCCCACACTTCAAGGCTCCCACACTGGAGACGTACAACAAAAGCACTAACCCCAATGACCACCTGGAGGGTTTCAGGGTGCTCATGATACTGTACGGATATTCCGACGTCTTGACATGTTGGACCTTCCAGGCTACCTTTAGGGGGGTCGCTCACCACTGGTTCTCCAGCCTTCCTCCTCAATCAATTAGCTCGTGTGAGCAATTTACAACTTTGTTCCTCGCCCGCTTCATCAACAACAGACGATGCCAGAATAACGTAGTCTCTCTGATGTCGCTCAAACAGGAGCCAGGTGAAAGCCTGCAGTCTTACATCAACCGTTTCAAGAAATAAGAGCTCGAAGTGTGAGACCTCGACCCTATGGTCTCCATGCACGCGGCAATCAACGAACTCCGCCCTGACTCGGCTCTCAAGTGATCGATTGCCAAGACCCCGCCGAAGACTAAACTTGAATTCCTCAAAAAGGCCCAAAAATACATTGCAGCCGAAGAGGATTCGGTCGGGGACGACTAAAAAAGGGCAACCGAGCGCCACGACGGGCCCTCAGAGAATAAGAGGAAAGGTGGAGACCAACGCCACCCTGGCAACAATGGCAAAAAAGATAACAAGAAGCCCGCCACCCTGGCATACAAGGACTACACGCCACTCAACTCCACCTGCACCCAAATACTAATGCAGATAGGGGAAGAGGGGGAACCCTACGAAGTACTACAAGTACCACCGCGGCATCGGGCTCGACACCGATGACTGTTACGATCTAAAGAATGAAATAGAGTCTCTCATTCGTTGAGGACACCTCAAGCAGTTTGTCGGAGGAGAGGTCGACACCTCGTCATCCCAGCAGCAACACCAACACCAGCAAGTGGCAGGCGTCATCGACGTCATCGCCGGGGGCATGGCCTCGGGTGGAGCCTTGGCCTCGATTTGAAAAGCCTACGCTAGGCAACTCAACATCCAGGAGCTTGCCCCAAAGAAGTAGAAGTACCCGGATGCTCCGCAGAGGCCGAGTTGTCCACATGCCCTCGTCTTCACCGAAAAGGACTTAGAGGGGGCTACTGTCCCCCACGACGATGCCTTCGTGGTCGCAACCATCATCTCCAATTTTATGGTGAAGAAGATCTTAGTGGATGGTAGCTCGTCAGTCGATATCATTTTTTACGACACCTATGAGAGAATGAAGCTCGCGCTAGAGTGACTCCATCCAGCTGACGCTCCCCTCGCCAGCTTCTCCGACAGCGTCACCAGGCCGGAAGGAAAGATTACCCTACCCATCACGGTAGGGACAACGCCACACCAGGTGACTTGGATGCATGAGTTCCTAGTGATGAAGGTTGCATCTCCCTACAATGCAATAATGGGAAGACCAACCCTTCATGCACTAGGGGCAGCCATGTCCTCTTATCATCTGGCACTTAAGTTTCTCACCGAGCACAGCATCGGAGTCATTCATGAAAACCAATTGATCGCCTGCCAATGCTATGTGGTGCCTCTAAAAGGAAAGAATAAGGAGGCCTTATCACTAGAGGGCCTCGACCCCTGGGAAGAACCAGCGATCTGAGGACAACTAGCCGAGGACCTCATCTCGGTTCTCCTGGATGAGTCAACCCCATAAAGGATAGTCCGCGTCAAGTCCAACCTCCTCTTGAACGTCTATATGAACTGGTAAGTTTCCTCAAAATTAACGCCGATGTCTTTGCTTGATCCGCCGCTGACATGCCCGGAATTGACCCTTCGGTCATTACTCACGGGCTGGTCGTGGACCCGAGCTCTAAGCCAGTTTGGCAAAAGAAGAGGAACTTTTCACCTGAACAATAGAAGGCCATAGGGGAGGAAGTTGATAAGCTACTCGACGCCGGTTTCATCCGTGAGGTACATTACCCCAACTAGTTGTCTAATGTGATTTTGGTAAGGAAAGCTAATGGGAAATGACAGATCTGTATTGACTTCCCTGACCTTAACCGAGACTACCCAAAGGACAGTTTTCCTTTGCCGATGATAGACCACCTCGTCGATGCCACTATAGGGTATGAACTACTCAACTTCATGAATGCCTTATCCGAGTACAACCAGATCCATATGCATCCCGATGACGAGGAGAAGACATCTTTTATCACTGAGCATGGCATGTATTGCTACAAAGTAATGTCGTTTGGCCTGAAAAATGCAGAGGCCACTTACCAGCGCCTTGTCAACAAGATTTTCAAGAATAAGATGGGAAGGAACATCGAAGCCTACATGAACAACATGGTGGTGAAGAGCCTGAAGGCCGAAGCGCACACCTCGGACTTGGCCAAGACCTTAGATACTCTGCGTAAATTCAATATAAAGCTCAACCCGATCAAGTGTGCCTTCGAGGTTACCTCGGGGAAATTCCTATGCTTTGTCGTCACTCAAAGGGGCATTGAAGCCAATCCGAAAAAGGTACAGGCCATACTAGACATGGCACCCCCTCGGTCAATAAAAGAAACTCAAAGACTCACTGGCAGGATAGCTGCCCTCAACCATTTCATATCGAAGTTGGCAGACCGCTGCCTTCCCTTCTTCCGCGCCATCAAGAAGCTGAAGAACCCAAATGCGGATTTGTTTTGAGCAGATTGACCAGATGGGCAATCTCCAGTTACGCAATCAGTACTCCGGCTGAGAAAGGGGAACCCACCAAACAAACACTTTGAAATCTCAATCCCTCTTTTCTTTTTATCCATTCAGGGGGTGCGGACACACCTGCGCGGATTACATGTGATAGTGAGAGAAGATGCAGATGAGAAGACTTACAGCAACGGCAGATCAGAGGAATATGTTCAGATCCCTCATTAAGGAAGGGTAAAAATGTAAATTGTAAAATGGGTGCAAAATGGGTTCGATTTGAGTGAGATTTAACGAAAAGGGTAAAAATATAAAATCAACTTTTCGTCCTGATTTAACAACGATGACAATTGTTAAAAAACTTAAGGGTACGACAAGACAATAGCTAAACAATAAGAGTACCGCGTATTATTACACTAAACAATAGGGATAATTTAAGAGATTTACCCTATAATATATTATATTATATATTTTTAGTATTTATATTATTTAATTATAGTATGTATTATAAACAATAGAAAAATAATAATCGAATCGATCATCTGGATAATCAATTAGTTTCCGTTTGGTTTTCGAATTGTGATTTTCCAACAACGGTAGGATCAATTCAATTTGAAAAAAAAAAAGAGCTCAATGCTGAACTGTGAGCACCCGGGAGACTAGGAGGGGGTGATTGTCGTGAGCAATAACATTGATGGCAAACAATTCTTTCAATTGGCTTTTTTTTTTTTTTTGATAGGTATCAAATGGCATTTTGATGGGCACGGGATGCGGTTCCCGGTCTGGATCCCATCAGACCCAAAAAAAATTTGAGTCCGGATCTTCTGTTCACGTCTACCCATACAATATCGCAGCCATACATGCAGAATATCTTATCCTTCTACATAGTATTATGCAGGGGAAGATATTTCTAATTCACGGGGTAGTGTATTATGAATAAAGTACACAAGAGATCTGGAGTAAAAAATTTGATCCAGATTTGAATCCAAGGCTCAGTTTGGAAGGAATACAAATACAAAATATGTATAGTGCAAATACATATAAAATAATACAAAATATAGGAATACAAACATGTAAAGGGCAAATACATATAAAATAATACAAAATACAAGGTTTTGTGCTCTACAAATTTGTATTTTGCATTCTTTCCAAACTGAGCCTAATATTTTAGGCCTAACCCAACCCATACTTGTTGTATGTGTATTATTTTTATGTTTGTATGTTACATTATATTATATTGTAGGGTCATTTATGAAAATACCCCTTATAGTTTGCAATCGATTTGCTTAATCGACCTTCCATTAGATGACAGATTGGCAATAGAGAATGACAGCTTCGACCCTAATGCCCCTTTGAATAAATTTAATAAAATAAAATACCATTTTTACCCCTAATAAGACAAAAGTAACCACTCTATTTAACTCTAATTGATTAATTGTGTTTTCGAAGTAGTTTTAGGGGTATTTTTGAAATAAACAATCATGAGTCTATGCCCTTGAACACTTGTATCCTCAGTTTAGGTGACAATATTACTATTTTCAGATGTTAGAAATAAACGTTTCTTAGTAAAATGTTGGTTAAGTAAATAATTTGTAAATAATAAGGGGTATTGACCTTATATTAAATTAAATTATATTATATATAACACCTATCATACAAATTATACAATATTTAATTTCTATTTAAAGTCATAGGCCAAGAACTCGGCCTGACCTGGCCCAAGTCTAGACTTATATTTCAGGCTCGGGTTTTGGTCTGCCTCTAGGATGTAGACTAGCTCAACAGTCAACACTCAATTACCCGCCATGGGACCTATGGTATATTCATTTTGGATAGGGATTTGATGCTTTTTTTTTTTTTCCCCTCTTAACAATGGAGTTCACATCATCATCATCCAAGAGTTTTTAGAACCAATTCTTATCCCAACTTGATGGTCTGGCTACATGAATCATGCTCATTCCATTAGTTCAATGCTATCAATTGTTAATGGTGGTGTATGGAAGTTGCCAATGAAAGTAATGTTGCTCATATCGGATGTGGGAGATCCATGTAATCATAACAAATGTGTTTTTTGATGAATCCATGAGAAAGAGGGCTATAATCATAGCAAGTGTTAGAGGCCCATAATGATATCTTAATATGAAGACTCTAACGGTAAAGTTAGTAAAGGAGGATAAAAATGAGGTGTTTGAGTGTAGTAAATGTAATAGGTGAAATGAAATAAACGTTTACATTAATATAAGGGAAATTGTTAAAAACTCACCATGAGTTTTCAGCATTTCTCTTAAACTCACCACAAATTTTCAAAACGTCTAAAACTCACCATGTTAGTAAGTTTTTATTTTCCAAAACTCACATTCTGTTAGTGCATCGTTAATGCTTCTTAACAGAGGTGTCCATGTCAGCATAAATAACAATTTTTATGACTAAATCACCCTTAAATGGCGAGTTAGAGGAAAAGGGTCTTTTTCATTTTTGAATTTTCTTTTTTTTTTTTTACATTTTTAGTGTTTTGTTATAATTTCTAATATTTTTTTATAATTTATGTTTTTTACATTTTTCTATTTTCTACCATCTATAAAATTTCATGTATTTTTTGTTATTTATTTGCAATTTCTGTGTTTTTCTATAATTTTTATTTTTCTGATTTTGTTTTTCAATTTCTATAGTTTCTATAATTTGAAAATAATTTTTTATGTTTTTTATGTAATTTCTGTGTTTTTATGTATTTTATATTTGAAAATATTTTTTGAACTTTTTATTTATTTTTTCATGTCTAAATATTAAAATATATGTATATATTTTATATTTTTCTATAAAGATTAAAATGGTAATATATTAGTAGCTGTTAGTCGCTTTAACGTCATGTTAATGACATGGTGAGTTTTAGACATTTTAAAATCTTGTGATGAGTTTAGGAGAAATGCTGGTGAGTTTTTGACAATTCCCTTAATATAATACAGGGTTCAACTATGATATGGAAAAGATATGATGTCTGGAAAACTTCTGACCAATAAACTAGAATCATAAATATGATAGCCAATCAGGTGTTATTTATCAAAATCCATTAGTGGGTTTTGATTGATCAAAACTCTTCCCATACCATATCTTTTCCGCATCATAAATTTTCTCTTACAATAAAATAGGTCACTTAGGACATTTTATATGGCACGTTGACACGTCTAACACGTGGTGTAATTCCGGGCCAGGTGGTATCTCCATGCTGCTTGTCCCTCCTTAGTTTGATGCGTTGTCGGTCGTGCCGCTTCTTCCCCATCATGTTGAACTTTCGTATGTTAAATGCGAAATGTCTGATCTGATTAGTCCTTAATTCTAACCGTATCAATTAAATTATTATGAATGCCTTGACCTGGATGGTTGAACAGATCGAAATGCTCAAACCATCATCCGGCCTCTTTTTCTAGCTCTGTTTCCTCTAAAGGCCGTAAATTGATAAAAAACATTGACTCAGTCAAAAGCCATCTAACTCTCTGTTTTCTCTTTTAGGTAATTTTTCGAGATTCATGCTAATTTGTCAAAAGAAATTCCATTGGCATCAAATTCCGTTTTTCTTCATGTTTTTTTATAAATAAAAAAATTGATATGTATGTTTGCTGATGTATCACAGGCTGATCCATCCAATTGAACAGTTGAACCGTTGACTGCGACCTTGAGGTAAAAACGATTCAGCATCCGACATGATTTCTAAAACACTGAATCACTGATATGTTATTTGGCAGACAATCTTCTTCTTCTTTATGTTTGGTTTGAAGGAAAATGCAGGAAAAGATAAAGAAACTTTTACGTATAAGGTTTTCCTGTCTTTCCCTTCTTTTCCTTCAAACCAAACATAGCCTTAGTTGACTTATTTTCACCATATCTATATAATCCGATGTCTAACTCTAAACAATCGGCAGGTGAGAGATGTGGGTGCAAGTTTTAAATGGAATTAGAGATCAACCAACAGTCTAGCAAACACTGTGGCCAAGCAAGGGGTGGATAGGAATCAACCATATTGGGAGTCGCTTTTCAATATTTCTATCGGGATGACTATGATGAGTTTTGGCAGCAGCTGCTAGTAGGCTAACAAAAATGAGACTACTTGTAACCTGATGTATATATCTCATTCTTTTTTTTTTTTTTTTCATAATTAACAATATTGGACGTTTATATGGTTACAATGTAAAAATCACTTGTTGTTGGAAAAAAAAAATAAAGATACCAGTTTGGATCTTTACATGGGGTGATGTTTGGTGGATAAATACTTTCGGTTGCCATCCATATCCTTGGAAAGGCAGAGTGCCTCGACATATAGAAAGAACCCTGAGTTGCTCCATGTTGCAGAGGGGCACAAAAGTACCACATTGCTTAAAAAGAGCTACCAAGTTGAAGTATGCATGAAAAGGTGATATATCAACATGGTCAAAACGACTTCTCAAAACTATACTTTCCTGTATTTGTAGTGGGGAAAATGCATGCTCAATTTCCTGTATCTATCGACTTCTTGGAGTGAATAAGGCTGGGGCAAGAGGAAAGGGCACCACCTTGTAAAATAAGATAGATAATAAATGCCATATATGCTGCTGTAGCTGTGGACACTAAAGTTCCAAACAACAGTCCTTTTACTTCAGAAGAGAAGAAATCCAGTAAAAGAAACCCATTGATCAATATTACCAGGGCGGCTATAATCCACGCCACAGCCTACATCATAATGGTACGAAATCCATGAGAAAATCTAAACAATTACGTTAATACTTCTTTTAGCAGTCCAATTCATTTGAACAAGAAACAATGCTTCAGGTCTAGCAGAGGCACAGCATTCCGCCTTTCATATTAACATGCATGCTATTGTGCAATTTGAATAGCAAACCACTAAACATGTGAAGAACAAATTCAATTCAGTAACTTTATCTACTTCATGAGAAAGTTGAAAACAATACGAGAATATATTGATTGGAGATGGTAATAATAACATTGAGAACTTCTTCACCATCCTCCTCATATGGAAAGAGAATTGGGGGGGAGGGGGGGAGGAGGGGAAGACAAGACCTAAATAGGCAATTCTGATACACCTAATCAAATAAATGCAATAAATGATTACTTCACCCATGCAGGAGTTGATGGCAAGTGTTATTACAAAGCAGAGGCTATAATTCTTTGCAAGTTCAGGAAACCCTTCTCTCACAGGTTCAGTCATCTAATTCTTTTGCACAGATCCATAAAGTAAGAAGGTCACTGGCAGGACTCTAGTTTCATATTTAGATTAGTAACTAAATGGGCAACTAGAGGTGGAATATCTCATCATTTTGAAGGCCTTTATTAGCTAGACAATGTATTGTCCCCATACCTCAGTAAAAAAAATGAAAAAGAAGTCCAATTAGAATCATGACTTATGAAAAAAGGAATAGAATAAAAGGGGAATGAACCAAATAAGCATTTGTTTTTACTGATAAAAGAAAATGTGGGCCTTATTATTTTTCAATGTTTGTTATCATTGTCACTTCTACTTGCAACGCTTTAGGTTGACCAATACAAAGTTTAGGAGAATACATTTTTTTTTTCTACCACAGATGCTTTGAGTTATCAATACAATATTTGGTACCATTTTTGTTTCTTCAGGAAACATCAAATTTGGTGTTTCTGCTATAAATGACAACAACCAATCCAATATCTATATTTTCTTTAGTGAAAATGGTTATCTGATGTGATGTGACAAGATCATTTCTCAAAAATTTGTATTAACCAACCTAAAATATTGCAAGTAGAAGTGGCAATGGTACCAAACACAACCTTAGTAATGCTCCTCTGGATAGCCCCACCTTTTTGAAGTTCCAGTCCTGCTCCTCTAGAACAAAATAAAGCCAGCTCGTTTGCCTTATATGCACTGATAGTGCGCTCCCCTATTACTTCACTTACTGATTTCATACCTTAATTATAATCATTAACCATCTTTCCCATTCTTCAAATAAAAAAAGAAATTTTCAAAACACTACATACACAACACGCACTCCACAACAAACTATAAATGTTTACTTCCAGAAAGGATTCCATCAAAAGGTATGCATTGATGATTATCACCAGAACAGCCAAAGTACATATGCAGTCTATTCCATAAACTCAGGAAAAGGCATGAGAAAACTATATCTAATCAAGCAAATTGCATACATATGAAAGGTAACATCACAAAGGCAATAGAAAGTACACTGTAGCACACTCAGGGTCCATTTAGTTGCTTCAGTATGTGCAAAACAAAGCACAGGATATAAAATCTATTATTGACTATTAAACCAAAAATGTCATGATATATTTATCGATTCGGTCTTTTGCTGTGAACTCTGACCTAGAAGCCCTCGAAAGCTAAGCATCTGAATAGAAGAAAACTAGCAATTTTACCAAGACCTACTTAATTTCTATCTTATGTTCTCATGTTAACAAGCATGCTATATGGGCAATCTGAGGAACAGCTAAATATGGAAATAGTACCTTTAACTATTTCTTATCAAAAAGATAGAGCCAATATTAAAAAAAAAGAAAAAAATGACATTGTTAATAAATAATAATAGCCCTTAAAAGCAAAAGGCCCGAATAGAAGCAAAAACTTGCAGTTGTATCATTATTTATCCTCTGTTTTCATGTTAACAAAACAGGTAACCAGTGCTCATGTAGTCTAGGTGGTCAATTGGCAACCCTTCAATTGAGAAGGCACTAGATAAAACCCTCAGAAAAGCAGGCTCTCCACCTTGTGTATGCCAGTGAGCTCTTTGTGCATCCCTGCTACCCAAACCCCACTAACCTGCTAACTACGGGTATAGCATATTGCAGCTCATCCCTGTTCGGGCTAATGCCACATTGACACACCCAAAAAACAGTAAACAAAACAAGTAAATAGAGTAAAAGTACTTATAATATTTCTTATGAGAATTATGGAATCAATAAATGAAAAAATAGGTCTATGATGCCAAGGATAACAAAGACAAAGAAAAAAATGTCTTGGTAAAATACTAAGTGATCATATAGAAGTAAGATCCCTGTACAACAAATTTCAATACACAAAAAAATAAGTATATCTTATGTGGTTGGTAATTTTGCACAAAAGAAAAACCCAAGTTTACATGTAAAGTAAGCAGTTGTAGATACATTGCATTTTTTTAGCTTAAGGATCCCAGGGTTTCAAGATCAATGCTCAAGATGTCTGCTGCAGGTTACTAGATCTCCAGAAGCCTTATCAGTAGACAGTAGTTAACAAGATGTGCTAGAAGTTCAGAGGGGGGAAAACAACAAATTTATCACACGACCATACTTGATACCAGGATAAGAATAAAAACTAACCTTAAACGCAGGTCCGATTTTGAAAACACCCATGACTTGCTCCTTTGATACCAAGATAAGAAGAGGGATGACTGCAAAAGGGATCTGAATTGACTGAAGCACATTAATCCATTCATTTAGGACATCCAACATTTTGTCGGAGGTGTCAAAGAAAAGTGCGACAATCATGGTTGGAATAATTGCAAAACTTCTTGTGATTAATGCTCTCAGCCATTTTTTTAAACGGAGATTCAGAAAACCTCCCATAATAAATTGACCTGCATATGTGCCGGTGATGGTGCTACTCTGTCCTGCTGCCAGTAATCCAATGCCCCATATATAAAGAATAGGGAAGAGTCCACCCCCATATTTCTCCTGAAGATACTGGCCTGCATTTACTAGGCCTATGCTATTGGCTTGCTCTGTACCATAAAATCCTTTAGCAAATACAGTTGTAACAAACAGGTTGATCAAGAAAGAGATAAAGAGAGCTGCAGAGGACTCAATGGAGTAGTAATTGAGGGCCTCTTGAATCCGGCCTTTCTTATGAGTGTCAATCTTCCTTGATTGTACAAGAGCAGAATGCAAGAAAACATTGTGAGGCATGATAATGCAACCCACAACTCCCACTGCTTGCCGTATGGTCTTTGAGCTTAATTTTGGCACCACAACACCTAGAAATTGGAATATATGATAATTTATAAAGATGTTAAAACAACCAAAGAAAATAAAACAAGTTTGGCACTTTACCTATCAGAAGTTCCTTTCCACTAGGTTTGGTTTCACCAAACATCCACGCGAATGACATTGCCATGGTAGCAATGAGAACTGCGAAAACAGCTTCCAATTTCCTCACCCCGTAGTTCTCAAGAAATAGGAAGATGAAACTGTTGACAACAGTAAAAAAGACATGATGTTATTTCATGGAGTAAGCCGTGATTAAATCAGAAGGCTCTGATTTGTGAACAATGGACTAACAGGCTTCGTTTTAAAGCAACAGAAAGGCCACGACCAAGTGCAGAATTCGAAACGTGTATTTCAGTATTTGATTTCTCAAAACATCACGGAAGTGGCAGTGCTAGGAGTTAGATGATCTTCATAAAATTTCAGAACTTTTCGGATCGAAAATCCGATATCGTTGAAGCTTATTCACAAATCGAATATATATAACCACAAAAAATAGGAAAAGGAAAACCAACGATCCTTCTAAAGTTCTATATCCTTGAATCAAAGATAAAAAACCGAGCCAAATGAATCAAATGAAACAGAAACCAATAACAAGGATTGTTTTGAGAATTAGAATCCCAATAACGTTAAAAAAATGAAGGGGAAGGGACTAAAGATTTACCAATCAAAAGCTGTGATAATTACGCCAGCCCAGAGAGGCAAGACACCATGACTAAGAATCTTGATAGCAATGGCACTTCCGATAACCTCCTGAATATCAGCTCCGATCAAAGCCAACTCGGCCATAAACCACAACAAGTAGCCAGCCCAAGTCGGGTAGTGATCCCTACAAAGCTCGGCCAAGTGGCGCCCGGTGGCGACACCGAGCCTGGCCGATAACAACTGAATCAGAAGCCCCATAACAGTAGCCCACATCAACAGCCACAATAGGGAGTAGCCAGCAATGGCTCCAGCCTGAAGATCCCCCTCGAGGTTTCCAGGGTCGAGGAAAGCAATGCTCATCAAGAACCCAGGACCCGTAAACAGCCAAAGTTTCTTCCATGAGAAGGGTGGAATTGCATTTGCATAGTAGTCCTCCGAGTCGATGCTGCCAGACTCGTCAATCCCGACGATCACCACCTTCTCGTTGGATTCGTAAGCCTTCCCCTCTTCGTCTTCGATATCTTCTTGCAATTCGGAAGGTTGAGGCTGAGTAGATAGCAATCTCTCAGCTTCCTCTTGGTGGGGGTGGAAGTATTGATGTTGAGGAGGCATGTTGTCGGGGGGACGCAAGCTTGCAACCTCGGAGCTCCTGTTCTGCCTTCACTTTTCAGGTTATTTTGTTCGGTAGTTGGTCTTGGAACGACAGATAGTTCTTTCAGAAGACGAGATTGCGGATGTGGTGGGTGGGATGACTGGAAGTTATAAAGTGAAGTGGAAGACATCGTGCACCCAGACCCGGGTGGTTTACTTCAGCTTTTTGGAGGAGACTACCAGACCCAGAGGCAGAGAGCCAGGCCCCCGTAACCAGAACCAGACCAGACCAGACCAGACCAGACAGTGATATGAGTGATGACTGGTTGTTGTCGATTACCCTAAATTTAGGATGAATCCAATTCCAATCTTGTCGATGGAAGTAGCTGCTGACTTGGGATGGACGGCTGGGCTTGTAGGATAGCGGGGGAAGTGGCGTACGTTTATGGAGTTTGCGGCGTAGAGAGATGGGATAAAGGTAAAGACGTGAAGTCGGAAAGTGGAAGGAAGGTTGATGACTTGATGACTTGATGTGTTTGTCAACTTTCGACTTTCATATGGTGGGGATGTGGGCCCCATGGGACACTTGTTTGCATTGTCTTCGCAACCCAACCACGCATTGGGAAGTGCACGGTTGGAAATTGGAATGTTGTGTCGGTGAAAGTAAAAAATTAAGGGATTTTTTGACTGCAATCCCCTTGAGAAAATGAATTCTGAATACAGTATAAATGTATAATCAGCTTAATTAATAACTAGCAAGTAGGCAAGTCAGAAGGTAGCAAGTAGGGCTGTAAGTCGGCCCAGTCGGGCCGGGTTAGGTCGGGTTGAGGTTAATTTTAGTCCAATCCTAAGTTTTAAACATCAATCCTAACCTTAACCCAATCCTAACTTTAACTAAATTTCTTCGGTCCTAACCCAATTCAACCTAAATCAAAGTCAATTTTGGGTTGGGCAACCCAACCTTCTTCCCATCTCTTAAAATCTCATAAATTTCTCGATTTTAGATCTTAACTTAACTTTCACTACATATATTAATCCTATGTTTCATTAGTATTTGTTTGTTGATGTTTTTTTTTTAATTTTTCGATACACAATTCAGAAAAACAAGTGTTAGAAATAACTATACTTTATTATGAGTTATGGCTTATGATAGATCTTTCTTGGTCAACAAACAACATAGAGGAGATGAAGAATAAAGTTTTCAAGAAAACATAAAATAATATTATTAAGGTTTTAGTCTTTCCGATTATGATTAAGTGAAGTGATTATCTTAAAAAAAATACATGATACTATGTGATGGGGGCTATACAAATATCATGCATTTAAACAAATCAATGTATGTTATATATTGCATATAACATATATTTATATATGACATGTACTGTAGAGTTGGGTTCATGAATTTTAACCTTAATCCTAACCCGAACATCAACCCGACCCGGCCCAAGTTAATACACTTAGACAATAATTTTGATAAAGATAATTTTATTAATTAATACAGTATAAGATCTTTAGCGTGTATTTGGAACCGTAGGCGTTTATTTCACATAGGCATTCGACATTTATTTCACATAGGCGTTTATTTCACATAGGCATTCGACATTTCACATAAGGCATTCGACTTACAAAAATAAACACTAGTTTGTGTGAATGCCTATCGCTGGGGAAAGCTTCACTGTAGTGCTTCTCCAGTTAGTTCTCCCAACGGTAGGTAATTCACTGTTTGGCTTGTGGCGTCTAATGACACTTAAGTGTCAATAAACGGAATTATCATTGTTTTTTTTTTTTTATTTTCCAAACAAATTAATTACAAAACGTTTAGTCAATAAACATACGTGATTCCAAATACATAGTTAGTTAATACAATCAGTAAAAATAAATTTTATTAATTTTTATAAAGATAAAAACTAAAATCTCCAGGTCCCACATAAACTCGTTTTTATCACTTTAATGATTCCAACATCAAGTCCCGCACAACTCCTTTTTTTTTTAAATTTTCTCTCATCCCTCTCCACACAACCCCCAAGCATTTTTACATTTTACATCTTATACAGTGATATTACCTCTTTACTTTTAAGGAAATTATCTAAAACTCATCGTGACTTTTCATCATTTCTTTTAAACTCGTCATAACTTTTCAAATCGTCCAAAAACCCTATATCAGTAATTTGATGTTAAACAGACTTAACGGATGTTAGTGGATTACCATTTCACCCTTTTTTTATATTTAACCCATGTCAGTAACATGATCATCTTCATCGAGGAGAAAGAGAAAAATGATGACCGATTGTTTGGTTGTTCTCTTGACGGCGAGACACTACAGCGATGTGGCATGGCCGAAACTGTGGCAGCGAGAGCTGAGAGCAGTTCATCATGACCGAAATGTTGCCCCTGCGGTGTCATCTCCGTCGGTGTTTTAATAGCATTGGGTTCCTTGACTATCTCTTTTCTCTATTCGTCCGCTCCATTCCCTGCTACCTAGTTCCCCACCTGAGAAGCTCAGCTGACGATTGCCCGTGGTCAGAGCCCCTTCTTCAGTTCTTTGTTCCAAGGGGCGATGATGTACACGCAGTCGGAGCCCCTTTTCTATTTGTCCGCTCCGTTCCTCTTCCTCTTCAAACCTCCTCCTCTCTTCTGTCCCGTCATCCTCTTCTTCTTCAAAACCCCGCCTCCTCCCATTCCGACAGTGTTTAGTAGCATTGGGTTCCTTGACTATCTCTTTCTCTCTATTAGTCCGCTCCATTCCTTGCTACCCGGTTCCTCGCCCGAGAAACTCAGCCGCATCCCACTATGACGATTGCCCATGGTTAGAGCACCTTCTTTGTTCCAAGGGGCGGTGGTGTCCACGTAGTCAGAGCCCCTTCTATATTTGTTCGCTCTATTCTTCTTCCTCTTCGAAAGCTCCTCCTTTCCTCTGCTCCGTCATCCTCTTCTTTGAAACCCCGCCTCCTCCCTCTCCGCTGAGGAACTCGCCTTGAGATTTGATCCAATGGTAGAGAAGATGACAAGGAGGAGCGCCATTAAAGCAATGACAAAGAGACTTTGCAACCAAAACCCTCCATATGAGACTTAAGGAAGACTTTCGATGAAGATTATGGTTTTTCGGCACTGTCCTGTGCTAGTCTACAGGGTCATAGAGAATGTCGGCGCTACTCAATGGAGGCAGCTTCTGTGTTCTCTACAATTTTGAAATATTTTTATCTTTTTTATTTTGTTTTTAGTTGAAACCTGACTGGAATATATATTTTTGGATTTTTAATTTTTTATCGTTCTTTGAAATTTCCACTTTGTTTTTAAATTAGTATGATTTTCTATAATTTCTACAAATATTATTTTTAGATTTTTTTTTTAGTTTTGAAATTGATATGATTTTTTGCAATTATTGTTTGTAGATTTTTTTAGTTAAAACATATAATTTCTTAATTAGTTTTTTATAATTTTGTATTTTTCTGTAATTTCCAATTTTTGGTTGAAATATATTTGTGAATTTTTATTTTTTAGCTGTTTTCTGCATTTTTTTTGCCTTTTTAGTTGAAATACATATATTTTTATTTTTTTTATCATTTTATGCATTTTCTACAATTTTTTATTTTTGGCTGAAAATATATTTGTGATTTTTGTTCAACTTTTAATGTTTTTTTACAGTTTTTGGTTTATATTTCTATTTAATTATTTTATTATTTCCCATGTTTTTTATGCAATTTCTGATGTTTTACATTAAATGTACAAGGCAGTCAGGGTGCATAAGGGCATTTTAGTCATAAAAATATGTTTAATAAGGCTGAATCCTCAGGGGCAGTTTGTTCATAAAAGTTGTATTTATGCTGACTTGGACAACTTATGTCAATGAACACTAACAGTCCTCTAAGGATGGCGAGTTTTGGAAAATAAAAGTTCATTGACATGGGGGTTTTGGATGTTTTGAAAAGTTATGGTGAGTTTAAGAGAAATGCTGAAAAATCATGATGAATTTTAGACAATTTCCCTTACTTTTAATCCACCCCCTCTATGCCTCTACCATTGCCAAGTATTTTCACATTTCACATCTTATACAAAGATATTACCTCTTTCCCTTTAATTTGAGACTATTCCAAAGCTCAATTTTGCCGATGTGGAAGCAAGTGGTAACCCTTATTATAATTGCTAAGAGACCGGATCTGCTCCTCACACCTGGCACTTGTGAGGCACCTCACACGCACATCCTATCATGTATTAGGAACATCTCCCGTACTTATTAGTTATTATTCACGGGAGATGTTCCCAATGCGATGTACATGTGAAGCGCCCATTTGTGAGGAGCAGATCCCATCACAATTCCTAAGCCAGTCCCAATAATCCAACACATGATCATTTCTATTGTTCCCTTGCTCATTACACACGGACTATAAAATGGGCCAGATTCGGATTAGATCCATCAAAATATAAATCCAATTCCATTAATAAAAAGGGAATTTAATCTGATCCAAAATTCATTAGATTTAAATATCACAATTCGAATTCAAATCCTATCTAGATAGGGTTGGATTAAAATTTATTCCGGCTTCTCTTCATTTTTTAAAATTAAGGAAAAATTAATTTCCTTTTCAATTTATATAAACAAATACATATAAAATATTAAATATATTATATAGATTTATATAGTATAATATATACAATTATATTTGTATAATTACATAAAATTATATATATTATAATATAATTGGTTCAGATTTTAATGGACTGGATGGGTTTAAATGTAAATCCGATCCAATTATTAATTTGATGCAGATTATAAAATTTGATTCCAATCTAATTATGTAAATAGTTAATCTTATTATGAGATATTTTGTGATTTGCACTTGGCTCCGCCCCTGCCAGCAGCGATATATAATAGGGTTATTCACATTCTTCTCCTCTTAGTTGAGATTGGCTTCAGTCGGTGCAAGGCCCATTCAAACAGCCTTTACAGTCATGCATCTGGAACATCTTTGTATTTCTATACTTTATTTCATGGGAAAATATTTCCAATGCAATACTATAATGGGTGTTTGAACGGCTTTTGCGCTGACTAAATCCGGCTTCCTCTTACTTGATCTGTATCGGCTCGGCTTGAGCTCAATTTTGAGAAAAAATATTTTATAAAAATAAAAAATTATATATATAAATATTTTTTATTTGATATTTTAAAAAATAAGAATTATAATAATTAATAATTATAATGTTTTTATTATATATTATTTTCTATAATTTTATTATATATATATATATCTTGAGCTCGGCTCCTTTCA